TGATATTAATTCAAAGTAAAGGAAACATACTTTTCTTTTTCATATATTTGTGTGTTTTCTCAAAGCTTTAGTAAAGGATAGTAGACAAATGCTTAAAATAAACAGATCATCCATGTAAGGAGGGAGGGAGGGAGGGAAGGAAGGATAAACTAACTAAAAGTCCTTTCAATAATTGGTTAGTTTCCAGAGGTTTGTGAGAACTGAAATGGTAACTCAACGAGATGAAAAGTGATGAAATATTTCATAAAAAATGGGGGGGGGACTAGCAATATGTGCAGTCTCTTACACAGAGGAAAACCAGACAAATGAGATTTATGCAGGGAAATTGGGTCTAAAAGGAAATAATTAACCAAGTCTTAGAAGAACCCAAATCTTGTTTTATAGTTCAAGTGATATATAAAGCAAGAATAGAGCAGTTTTGTTCTGTACTTTGGGGACCCTGATCATTACTGTGGCACAATTGGCCGCTGGATTAGTTCTAAGGATTATAACCCTTGTTGTGGATATTTTCCACCTTTCCTAAATCTAAATATTAGTGTTTTTCTTCTGACATCATACTATAGCTTGCTTTTTGTAGATGGATTGCTTTTTGTAGATTTTGATCTGTGAGCTGGTTTGACATCTTCAGAGTTCTAGAACACTGGGCTGTACTCATTTTGACAGATCAGTGCAGAAGTGACTACAGAAGTTCAAAAAAAGATCCTATCATGTGGATGGTTTTAAGTTACCATGGGATAGATACCTTATGTAACTCATGCACTGGTAGAAAAAATGTTACATTTGTGTTTGCAACATTTGGTCTTATATAAATTTCACAAACATTCAGTGAAGTTGCTCTTTGATAATAGGGTTGTATGATGCTTCTATTAAAAAAAATCTGACTGAAAAATGATTCAATCAAATTGCTAATTCCAAACTAAATCTTTCAACTGAAATGCCAAAATGATTTGACATATTGAGTTGAATCAAGTGCCTTCATAGTGAGTTGAAAATGTGATGTACTTTTGGTATGTATAAGCACACTTTCTTATCAAACTGAATTAAATCTTCAAATAAAATCTGCTTGATTTGACAACTGAAGCTGGTGAGGTAAATGGACTCAGCTTGACTCAGAACTAAATCACAAATTTGAATAGAGTTGAATTGACTGAAATGAACTGCAAATGGAAATAGGATCCAGAGGTTTCTTGCAGACATGAGGAGGTGACAGATGAGGGCTTCAAGGAAACGACAAGCCATTTTGTTTATCATCTTTCACTACTATCTTTCTGGAGTGGGGCAATCAAGATGTTGAGCGATTTATGTGGTTATGAGTATATCTAGGATTCAGTGCAGTTTCTCATAAGGAAGAGAATAGAAAAAGAACACCAAAATAACAATTGATCTCTTAACAACCACAGGAGCTCTTCCGGCAAGAGCTACACAACATCCATTAAAAAGTTAAAGATGTATCTCATACACGTATCACCTTTCATTTTTTTAAAATTTGTTATAAGTGATGTATGATGATAATTGCCATAAATCTTACAAGATGAGGGCCTTTTTGTTTCGAGGTTGTCGTGGACAGGCAGAGGAAGATAAGATATTGTCCTTCTCACATCTCATGGAGAAAATCTATCTATATGGTCACTCAGAGCTGATGGCACGTAATCAACCAATCGTTCTCACATCAGCTTTTGCTATAATGTTAAGCAATATGAGAAAGCTACACTGGGAATCTTTGACTGGTAGTGGCTGCTGCAGACGGCAAGGGATGATGCTTAATGATTAAATCCCCTTTTCATTCTTTTTGAATTAGAAATCATAAAAGTTATGATTTTATGACTTTTATGACTCCAATGAACACTTATAGGAGAACCTACTGAGACTTTTTTCATACTAAATAATTCCTGTTGACTTGAGTACCGCATAAAAGATGGTGTGTGATTTTAGAAGTTTGTTTCTTTGCCTTCCACCTTTTCAAAATGCATCATACATTTCCAATGTTTCCAATGTCATATTCACTGGGCCCACTGCCTTTGCTACAGTAGCCACATGTTAGCAATAAATAGGCCCCTCAAATCTTCACCACAGCCAGATTTTCCTTGGGGTACACTCCTGATTCATGCCTATTCATAAAAGAAGGTGAAACCTACTATTTAGTAGACATTGATATAACAGATTTTGAATGCAACAGACAACATTTTCTTGGTGATTCACGTCATTTGCCTAATGATGTCATCACAGAAATAATAATTATGTAATAGGCATCATTTATGTGATGATGTCATTATGCAAATAATATAAATTGCCACAATAACACACTTAAGTATTCCATGGACATTCATTATCATCCTACACCCCTTCCCTCAATTACTCCATTGGAACAAGGTTTCACTGTACTTTTTTCTTCCACATTAGTATTACCACAGCTGCAGTCAGAAAGCCAGCAAGAAATTTCAGTTTCAAACTCTGATTTACTACTTAAAACTAAGTTTATTCATTGATACTACTGTTCTGAGATCATACTGTGCCCCCCCCCCCAAAGCAAATACTGGCTGTCAACATTTTTGAAAAGCGCTTTAATATTTATCAACATTTTTAAAGAGAACTTTACTCACTTTTTGTTTACAACTTTAGTGGCATACCATTGCCTTAGTGGGGGGCCATTATGATGAAGTCCGTTCTCTCTCATCATCCTTCAAGGCAAATTAAATTAGGACTCATCCCAGCTGCAGTCTGTGTGAGATATGATCCGCTTGACACCAGTCTCACAGCAGGAGACCTTACAAATGCACCAGGCTTTGAATGAAAGGGTTCTCCTCGATACACTAGTTAATAAATACACCTAATAGCACATACCTCCAAGTTCTTCCAAGGACAAATTCTTATTAAATGAGGAAGATAAATGCCATACTGTACGTGTAGTGACGCAGGTCTTAAAGTTGTATCCATTTTAATGATACTCCAGTATCAATTTGACCACAGAACGTGCTCTGCATACAGTTCATGCCCGTATTTCCTCCTTCTAGTTATGTCTGTATGAGTATCAGCAGCATATTTTGTTCCTTGGGGTGATGAAGATGGCAAGGTCCAGGGAAGGTGACATAAAGAGAAGGGGAATTTGTAGTGACTATCTGGTGATACTGAAACAGTGGCAAATGCAAAAGAGTTCTGCATTCTTGATACAGATTATTCATGTTGCATTGTGGGCAGTGTTTTTAAACATAAAAGGAATGCCATGCAATTTAAAGGAATATGCAATGACTGGGACCAAAACTGCCATCAAATGTAATATATTGCAACATTAGTACACCCTGAGATGAAATTATTTAAAGAAACATTGTAAAACATCTCATGTCACCTTCAAAAAATTGAAAAAAATAGTCCTGGCATAAGATTTGCAGGCTATAGTCCATTTCAATCACATGCACAAGGGTTTTTCTAAATTGCACACATACATCCATACACACCCATACACATACACTCCTAGGCACAAATGGCTTCTTAAGTACAGGTAATCCTTGCTTAGCAATTGCCTCATTTAGCAACTGTTTGCAGTTAGGATGGTGATGAAAAAGTAACTTTGCAACCATTCCTTGCATTTATGACCTTTGCAGATCTGTAAAGCAAAGGAAAGGTAAAATAAGATCATAAGCAGAGTCAACAGCTTTGCTTAACTACTGAGTTGCCAGTCCCAATTGTGGTCACTAAATGAGGATTACCTGTACTTCACCACATTTGTGGGCAGAGAAAGAAATTGGCCAATTTCTCTGGATTTTCCTGGAAAAGGAAAATTTCTAGAACAAGTTCTCAAGCACTGAATTCCCCTGTCACAATGACAATAACATTCCTACTGAAAAGGGATATAATGGAAGCATGGAAACTCAAGAAAGCTACAAAGAACTAAAGAAATTATTGTACATTGAGAGAAGATATCGACATACAGTACATAATTCTTTTAAGTGCAAAAACACAACCCTCCATCCAGGAAAATAATTTCAAAATTCTCTTCTCCTTTGAAATTATTTCTAAAGCATTTTTCGTCAAATTGAATGAAAACTGGTAGAAAAAGTGCAAGAGAAAATTCTACCCAGATCACTAAGAGAGCGAATTGTAAATAGTGGGGTTGGAGAAAAATGAAATGCAGCAATTAACTTGGCAAATTCACAAAACAATTCCTGCATGATAAAACACACTTATATTAACATATATAGGACAATAGGAAGGCCCACAATAGATCTGAATTTCTCATGTGCAGCAATTCTGCTATTTCATGGTGAAATTTCTCTTTAAGAGTGAGATGACAGAACATCCTGGGAAGTTCAAATGTCCTCCCAATGATTTTTTTAAGTATCGTCTTTTCTGGTATCAAATGTGTACCATTTATTTTGCAAAGAAACTGGTCTTTTTCAACTTAATGTAGCACGCGCAGCTTTAGCAAGCCCTGACATTGCAGATGGAATGATAGGTCCTGTAATAGTTCTGCCAGAGTAAATATGGATATAAAGTTGGTTTTTATTTCAAAATAATTTATATATTGGCATTATGATCAAGTTTCTTAGGAGCATCATAATTAAAGCAACTGATCACCACCCATAACACAACAGGGATACATGTTGGTTTTCTGGATTAGATTGCCTCTTGTTTTTGAGGAAGTTGCTTGTGACTCTTTGTTTTAACTATGTTACTACATTGCTAAAAAGTATGCTGTTTTTTGGCCTTTGCCTAGTTTCAAATCTCCTCTTAACTCCAGACCTTCACTATAATTGCTGGACAGGTTGGGAATTCATCTGGAAGAATGAATCATTTTCCTGATTACTTGCTGCTCCTTCAGGAGGTAAAGCCTGTATTTCCAGCCATAGAACTCCTCACCCCTATAGCTTTGGGATCTGATCTGAGTAAGAGTGAAAATGGGATTGCAGACCAGCAGAGGTCCTTTTCCGTGCTGCAGATCAGTGAAAACAATATTAAGCCATGGATTTTCAATGCAAATAAGCTTTAATAATACTGGAGACAAAACCAAATATAAATAAATGCTAGGACAAAAAAAAAAAAGTAGTTTTCAACCATTTACTTTATATCATGGTGTGTAAATGCTTGCAGGCTTGTTCGGTGATTAAATATATATTTAACGTGATTCCAATAACCTGACAAGAAATCAGAGATAAGGCTGTTTCTGGCAAAAAAGTACCTCAGGAAACAAGAGCTTAACTAGGTGCCTGGCACTTTGCCACAAGCCTTTGAAGCGCTGAGCTTGCAGTAACACTCCTCTTCATGCTTCAGTTCCACTCATCCTCAGCCGTGCTGAATACAAGCTGTGGGTTGGCCGTGAGATTCTTAACTGAAGTTGCCTGGCAATTCCACCAAAGTCAACAAGGCCAGGGGAGACCTTGGAGGAAACTTTCAGTTTCATTCATGTGGTCCAACAGCCCTTATTCATTAGGAAAACTATCACAACTGGATATGCATAGCTTGACTCTTGTCTTTTAGATCAAGGCTTATATTTGCTACTATAAAATTAAACTCTGAATATAAAACTGTCCAATTTTAACCATTAAATGTTGCCACTGGCTTAGGTAAGAGCAGAATTTTGCCCATACATTTTTGGTTTCCCTTTAATCATTAAGATTAAATTATTTGGATAAATCAACCTGCGCTGCGATTATCTAAAGCTGTTCTTTTAAAAATCATACCTAAGTTTTCCCCAAACATATTAATCAGACAATAATTTGCTTTAGTTCAAATATCAAACCATAAGTATAAATATTAGATATGCTGCTATGTGATTGCCTGAAATCAAGCTACTAATAAAAAGTCATTCATATAAACTCATGTTTTAAAAAAAGAATGAAAGGGAATCTTGTAATGCTGAACTCTGAGTCAAGGAGTAATATATATGTGTATATATGTAGAGAAATTTTCTTCTAAAACTTTGTCTACTCCAATTTCTTCCCATCAATACATGTGACAGTTTCAGGAGAAGATGTATGCGTACCAAATTCTGTGAAAGGAAAAGCCTCTGTGAGTTGAGAAGTTGAGAGGAAGATCATCATCCATTCTTCCCTACCAGTGCCATCACACAAAAGCACTTGGCTGCTCTGGGAAATAGCATACTGGACTGAAGACCTGTGGTAAGAGTTATTTTGCCCTTCATAACAGTTTATCTACTACTGTATATAGTACTAGTAGTTAGCAAATCTGTCCATTTGATTCCAGTTAGTTTTTTGTGTCTCCAACTGCTTGCTTGGTTTGGTCCCATTTCCACGTGAGTTTGCTAATTCAGCCAAAAAAAAAAAAAATCCATACAGTTACACTCTTTTCTTTGTTGTTTGTATTTAAATATTTGGATTAATTCTAGAATAATATTCTACTTGAAGAAACTCAACGGAATTCATGGTATAATGTGCCACTTTCCACCATGCTATGTGAAACTATCCCTTGTTCATATATCAGTTTTCTTCTGATTTCTCTAAAAACCTTCCAACAATTTTCCACAATTGGCAAGGTCCCTAAAGTTGTAAAAAAGAAGTGGGAAGGCTGCTTGTAACCCCATGGCTGTGGATTGTCCATCCCTGCCCATTACTACTGCCTTCCATCTATTAATACAACTGCTGTTTCCACTCCAAAAGTAAGTCACTGAGGACTGATATCAAATCATGAGTGGGAAATGGCTGTGGAAGTACAGTAGTGACCCATCTCCCACTCTGTGTAATGCTATGCAAACCTAGAAGAAGTGGTGTCAGTGGCTCATAGGGATCAGAGACATGGCATTCTTTTCTGTGTTAGTTGATAAGTTCTTGTAATAAATTAATCATAAATAACCAATTAAGTACACAGTCATGAATAACATTAATGATACATTTCTGTTCGTTTACACAAAGCTCTCTTCCATATTGGTACAAAGCAGGAAGGAATCCACAAGCCTGGGTTTCACCAACTGCTGGAAATCTGACTCTTGAAGACCATCAGGGCTCATAACAGCTAACCGTCGTAAAGCTGCCTGTAAGAAAATGTGACAACAGTTTTAAAATGCTAATGCTAATAAGAATAAACCCTGCTTTACACAATGCTATATCAATCTGATTGAGAAAGACTCATATTCTGAAGTTCAGTGAAAGTTCCTTGTGTTGTTTACCCCCCAGTGAAGACTAAACTGGGTGCTATGCATGGCTAGATCAGTTGTTTCACTTGAATTAATTAGAAATGGGTGGCAATTGTTCAGGAGAATCCAGAATGCAGGGGAGGAAAGACTTATCTCTGAGTTCCTCAACTCTGACCACACTGATTTTTTTTTTAAAAAAAA